CAATAAAGAATGTACATCATGGTAAGCACTGTATTTCTCACTCTGGTGCAGTAAAACTCTCAGAGGGGTTTTCCACCTTGACACTGTTTTGGATTTCTCTCTCCCCGTTTTTCTCTCCTCTCAAAGAGGTGTGTGTGTGCGTACAAGTGTGCGTGTTGATCTGAAGGTCAAACCTGGGGTCTTGTGTGGGCTATACAAGCACTCTGTCGCAACTCCACCCTTTAAACTTTTTTTCTTATTTAATTTAAAAGCAAATTTTACTTTATTTTATAATTAAAACATAATTATTATCTTCAGGTCCTGATTACCACCCTGTAGTCATCTGAAATGTATTTCTTTGGAATGGTTGGTTTATTTTAACTATGGTAACAGGTATGTAACATAAAATTCACACTATTAACCACTTTTTGTCTATACAGTTAGGTCTTATTAAATTCATTTAGATTGTTGTACAACAACGCCTAGAATATTTTCATCTTGCATAACTGAAACTCTGTCACCTTTAAACAGCAGGATTTATCTTTAAGAATAAGAATTTTTAAGCAATTTTAATGCTAGAGGGAGAAGCTGTACAATGAGAGAGGTTGAAGACTTAGAAAAAGTGAAATTTCCAGCATTCTAAAAGCTTAGGAAAGAGACCATTTCATCATTAGGAGAGAGGTAAATACTTCCATTCCATCATCTCTCAAGTGGTTTTTATTTCCTACTTTATATTACAAAGAAAAGGACACAACAAAATTAATATTCATAATTTTCAGAAACTGCACTTTTAACTCCTCGGGTCTTTTTTTTTTCTATATAGAACAAATATCTATAGTCTTTTCGACATGGAGCAAGGGTCTGTGTGTCTTTTATCTCATGGCCTTGTGCTGGTCCCCTGTCCTTTGTCCTCCACACAGTGCCTCTGCTTCTGCTTCCGTGGCATTTATGTTCTAATGCAGATTCTAATATGGGAGAAAACGTGCAATATTTATCTTGTTTAACATGACCTTGTTTCATTCACGTTTCTACAAGTGACATAAATCATTGGTTTTGCAGCTTTGACTAAAGCTCCAATGCACACATAGCACTTTTTAAACATCTGATTGTAAAATAATTTCAAATGTGTGGAAAGTGTTCAAGAATAGAACAAACCAGACACTCTTTCCAGAAGCACCAACCATCATATTTTGCAGTATTTGCTTTACTGCAGTGTTTTTTTATTAAGGAACTGTACACATCATACCCTTTGTCCAAATACAACAAGGAGCAAGTGAATTCTCTTATAGACTTCCATTATCAAATTCAAGAAATTCACAAAAACAATGTTATGCACATTTCCATATCCGAACTTCATGTTATCTTAGTCATGTCATTTATGGACTATTTTTTTTCCGATCCAGGCACCAATTCAGAACCATGTGTTGTATTTAGTTCAGTATCTCTAGTGTCCGTTATTGTGAAATAGGACCTAATGCTGCCGTTAACGTTTTTGTGATACTGAGATTCACTCACTCTGGCTTGTCTGATGCTTCTGTGTGTTGAAGTCACTGCCCATTTTGAGCAGGAGTGTTAGATCCCTGCTGCTGTGTCTTAGTACAATATGTAAGTAAGCACAAGGTGTCAATTTCTCCATCTAATACAGTGTGGAATACTTAGTCAAGATGGTGCCTCTTTTACATTCAGCCACACAAAAAAAAAGCTGTCCATTTTCCATTTTCTCTACCCAATTAATAAGCAGAATGATGCTGTGGTATTATGCAATTACCTGATGCATTTTAAATTTTCCTTAATCATTGTAATATCCATTAAGGATTCTGGCCCAATTCAGTTATTACTGTGATGGCTGCAAAATGGCAATTTTCCCACTCTATTATTTCGTCTGCATTTATTGGTTGGCATGCTCTGCAAAGATCTTCCCCTTACCTTAATCACTTGCCTGCTTCACTGTAAGTTCATTGATTATTTTTTTCAGTTGGAGACTTAAAATTTATTTTTCCATCATTTATTTTGAAGCTCAAGTATTCCCTTTTGCTTAAAGGGATCTCTGAAAACCTCCTGTCATTATAGTGTGTATGTTTGTGTGTGTGTGTGTGTGTGTGAGAGAGAGAGAGAGAGAGAAAGAGAGAGAGAGAGAAAGAGAGAGAGTATATGGGAGTGTGCATGTGTGTGTGCATGTGTATGAGTGTTTCTGTGAGAGTGTGTATGCATACGTATGAGTGAGAATGTATGTATGTATGCCTGTGAGTATGTGCATGTCTGTGTGAGAGAGAGGGAGAGGAAGACAGAAAGAGACAGAGAGACAGAGAGAGACTGATTAGAACACATTTTACAAAGTTGATTTTCTCCTTCCACCATGTGGGTCATGGAGATCCAACTAGATCATACTTGGCAATAAACACCACTGAGCCATCTCACCAATCCATCTTTTTAAATTTTCAAACAATGCCATTGTATTTCAGATTCTCATTTCCAGTGCAATGTGTCACTGTTCACATGAACATTTTCTGTCCTGTTCCAACAACTGGTCCTTTCCCCTGGTGCTAGATGTATCTAGTGCTAAAAGCTGTTGTGTGTGTTTTCCAAGAGTACAACTCAGAGTCAGTGCTCCTGCCAGTGCCAGTAACAGCATTAGATACTTAGTGTGTCACATTGTGTTTCTTCAGAAGGCTCCCAGGGAATGATTTATCCTGCTTTCCACCTGCTCCTTCTTCGCCTCCCGTAACTCAACTCTTATCTGTACCATCCTGAAGATGAAGTAGATCACACCACACTTGAAGCTTGGGTCATTTTCCCATCAGTGTTCACATTCACTCCCTGGGCAGTGTCATCTGACTCTCATCCTGTTATCTCTAACCCAGTCTTCTTCCTCAAGTTCTGTACTTTCCATCCTCTTATTTTGACTAGGCATTTTTTATTCAAATTCACTACATAAAACAGGTCCACTGTAGACCTGGTCTGCTGTAGTCTTCCCTATCTCAAGCAATGGCAGGCCATTCTCCCAGTCATTCAGGCAAAAACTTGGATATAACGTAAAATATCTTCGAAGGTCCACCACCATTTCTATGCCCTCCCCTGCCACCACTGTCTCAGCAGCCATGGCACCCTCCCGAACTATTTCAATAACCTCTTTCGACATCGTTCCAGGCTGACCTCTGTTCCAAGAGTTCATCCTTCTTCCCTCTATCCTTTCTCTGCTCTTCAAACACACTGATCCTTCTTTTCTTCGCACATTCCAGCATCCTAGGCGTGTCCCCACTCCTGATAGCTGTTGGGTCCAGTTTCTATATCCGGAAGGTTCATCCCAAGGTATTTACCCAGCTAATTCCCTCATCACTTCTAATTTGGGTCAAATGGTATCTTCTCATTAGGCCAGTGCTGACTGCTACCAAGGCAGTCTCTGATCCCATGTTCTGTGCTTCCCCCACCTAAAATTCCCATTACATTTATCTTTGCATTTTATTATTTCTTTTCTTCTGTGTTACACATTGCCAGTCTCCCTCTGCCATGTCCATTCTAAGAGGGCAGGAATCCTGTTTTTGCTCATTGAAATGTCTAAAGCAGTGAATGTACCATAAAAGGTATTCAAGATTTTTTTAATAAATAAGTGAACAGCTTCACTTTATGTTATATTGTAACAAATTCAGGGAAAGGAGAGGCTACCTGCAGAATGGAGTCCACAAATAGCATTCTTAACATTAATATAGCCCAAACACAATCTCAGCCAATCTCTACTTATCTCCATGTGCACATTTGCCTCTTTCTGTGGGTGAAAGCTATATTTGTTGTAAATACAAGTGATTTTAATCAGACAGTGTTTTCAGAGCAGAGCAGGTCTTGATGGTCCTGAATTATGCCTTTCCATGCTTCGTACAGCCAAGTAATGAGATACAGATGTTTGTCATTCACAGCTCGGTGTTTCCCCTGGCTTTCTTTTTCTCCACAGGGGAGATGGGATGTTGGGAGAAGATATGGCAGAAAAACAAATTACTTTATACATTAGCTATATGTTTTCATAATAGACTCCTAAATTGTCTCAACTTCTAAACTTTGCTGAAGACACCTCTTGTGTGACTCAATCATCTCAACTGAAATAAGACATATCTTGACAGACATTCAGATATGGTACCTGGCACATTTCTGTGCAGTTACCATGATGTCAGAGTCAAGTTTTGAAGGGTACACATGACATGAGCATGAAAGTGCCTCTATCACCAAGATGGGTGATGTATGGCTACCAGTGCAAGAGAGCACACAATTAGCAAGTGTGTGTCCTCTTTGCTTTTCGGGAGCATTGTTAGTTAGGTTCTTTTTGTTTTGTTCTGTTTTGTTTTGTTTTTGTTTGACTTTTGGGACAGGGTTTCCCTCTGTATCTTTGACTGTCCTGGAACTCACACTGTATACCAGACTGGCCTCAAACTCACAGAGATCCACCTGCCTATGCTTCCCAAGCACTGAGATTAAAGGTGTGCACTACTATGCCCAGCCTGGTGGTTAGCTTTATAATGTTGTTTCATTACTTTGTCAATGATACGGCCAAGACAACAGGAAATCTTTTCCCTCACAGCCTTCTGACATCTGAAGGGAACATAAGAAATTAACCAACCAAAAAAGCACAGTTTTTAATTCATACAGTTAATGTCGTCCAGAATTTTGTAAGAAAAACATATGTAAAATAAATGGTAAACACAAAGTTAATCGTGGTGATCCCAGAACTCTAGAACCTCAGCAGAAAGATCATGATGTTGAGGTCATCCTGGGCTACGTACAAGGCCTTGTCACAAGAAGAGAGAGCAAGAGAGACAGTGGAGAGAAGGGACAGGGAGTCCCCTTATTTACTTGCTTGTCATTTTAATTTGTTAGAAGAATTTCAAAGATGAAGTCAATAGACCATATTCAATTCAATTTTGCCCTTACAGTGTCTTTTGAATGTATCTCCTTTTTAATATATTATACTTTACACAGAGAAAATGATGCCTCCTTTAAACTCATGAAATTCCCCATGTGGTTAATTTCCACAGATACAACACACTCAGGGGAAATTGGCACCAAGAAAAAGGTGAAAAGACTGTTAAGTTTCCAAAGATACTTCCATGCATCTAGGCTTCTCCGTGGGATTATACCGCAGGCCCCCCTCCACCTGCTGGATGAAGACTATCTTGGACAAGCAAGGGTAAGCCAGTTACCAGAAGCAAGCAGTGGCCAAGAACCTGTGATCCAGCTAAGGGCACCTGGGTCTGAGCGCTACTCTGCCTCTAAAAGGGCTATTTGACTCTGAATTTGGCATTTAACACATCTGGACTTACTTCCTCAAATACAAAATGAAAGTAATAGAACCAGGTACCTTGTAGAGATAACTAAATGTTTTTCTAACTGCTGTTATAGTTGTGGGGTGGGAATGGGATGCTGGGGATTAAACCCAGGGCTCAAGCAAGCTCAGTAAGTGCATGCCCCACCACTGAGCTACACACCCAGTCCTGAGGTCAAACATGTCCCCATGCTTACCATACGCATGCCAAACACACATAGCTATTTTCACTTTTATAAATGTGAAGAACATATTTTTACAGTGCTAAACAAGGTAAAGTCTTGGCCTGAAGATTGCTGATTAAGGTATAACTAAACTTTTAAATCCATTAGATTTGTCTTATACAATGGCAACTGAAAATCCCTCTTAGCTCTTCATTAGGCTCTCAATTCGACACATTAGCCTATTCTTGTTTTTAAGTCATTTAAAAAGCTCATAATAACAAATTATTTTCACTCTACATTGGTCTGATGAGGTAGAATTCAATGTGAGGTGGTTTAAAAAACAGTTTTCAAGTTATATGTTGTTGCCAAGTCTACATTGCCAAAGGAATTTAAATTCTAGGGGTAAACTGTCACCACTAAACAGATGTCAAAAGTAGTATTTTGTAACATACATGGTAAATAGAATCTCCATATAATAACATATTACTACATATATGCTACTAAAAAATGAACAATAAATAGTGCCAGAGGAACTATCTCCCAATATCCTGTCTATAAAAAGATAGAAGTTAATTAGACCTTACAGCAACATTAGAGTGAAATTGAATGAATCACTGGTTGTTTGATTAGTTGTTTGTTAGTTGGTGGTTAGTTGGTTAACTGGTTATTAGTTGGTGGTTAGTTGATTAGTTGGTTGGTAGTTGGCTGGCTGATTACTTGGTTATTAATTTGTGGTTGGTTGACTAGTTGGATGATAGTTAGTGGTTAGTCAATTAGGTGTTTGGTGGTTGGTTGTTAGTTGGTTGATTGGTTGGTTGGCAGTTGGTGGTTGATTGATTGGTTGGTAGTTGTTTGATTAGTTAGTTGATTAGCTGGCTGGCAGTTGGTGGTTGGTTGATTAGTTGGTTGGTAGTTGATGACTGGTTGGTTAGTTAGGTTGTTTAGTAGGTTAGTAACTGGCTGATTACTTGGTTGGTAGTTGGTACTTTGTTGGTAGTTGGTGGTTGGTTGGTTATTTGGTTGGTAGTTGGTTGGTTGGTTAGTTGGTAGGTTAGTTGGTTGGTTGGTAATTGTTTGATTAGTCAGTTGATTACTTGGATGAGTGTTGGTAGTTGGTTGATTAGTTAGTCATTAGTTGATGGTTGGTTGGTTTGTTGGTTGGTGGTTGGTTGGCTGGTAGTTGGTTGATTAGTTGGTTGGTGGTTGGTTGATATTCATATGTGGTCAGTGTTCAGTTGGTAGATGATTGGTTGGTAAGTAATAGTTAATGGGTAGTTGACTAGGTGGTGGATAGTTGGCTGATTTATTGAAAGGAGATCCATAATAAGTTCTTTTAACACTGCAGTGGCAGTGGCAGTGGCAGAACACTCATGATGGGTTCTCTCCTCAAGGAGCCACATTTTTTAAAGGTGATGTTGAGATAAATAAAAAATAATAGACCGGCAGTCTGGCTGTCAGAAAATAAAGCCTGTATCTGCATTTCATGTTGTATGATTTGGGCAAAGGTTCACTACAAATAGATAACCATCCCTTTGTTTCTTTAACAAATTTTGAGGGCTAAGCATGCTATATAAGGCACTGGATTTTTCACAGGCCCCAGAACCACTCAGGGGCAGAGAGGATCATAAGTTAGTCCTTGCATTAGCAACTATGCTTCAAACAGAAATGGGTGACGTTGTAGGAACAATGGTACAGAAAGAATCAAACAGAGCAAACTTCATGTCACATTTCATTCTAAACATGGCTTACTTTTTAACTAAAAGAAGAAGTCTGAATTACAGAATAGGTCTTTAAATTTATGTTGAGTGACTGTTCAATTTCCTATATAGTAGTTAATCTTACATGCAGTTCTCATTGAGCAGAATGCACTCAGCAATGGCTTTCACTTCATTTTTTTCATTTTTTTTTATTCTAAGAGCTGGGACTATAGCTAAGTGGTAAAGTACTCGTCTGACATGCACAAGACCCTGGGTTTGATTCTAAATACCACAATACAAACAGCAAAAAAAAATTGTTGAAGAGCTTCTCCCTACAGGGCACTCTTCACAGAGCCCCCTTTAACAAACACCTACACCCATGCTCGCTGTGACAAGCACCTGAGGTACATAGCACTACCTCTCTCCACCCCCACAAAAAAATTCTTGATGTAGATGGTGTCAGCCACATTTTTCAGATGAAGGTTGGAGAAGATGAGGGTGTAACCAAAGTCAAACAGCTAGGAAGAAGAAAAGGGGCTGGCATCAGACCAGGTAGTTTAACCTGAGAGCCTGTACCTTGAGCACTAGTGAATGGAGTAGAATCTGGTTTGCCCCAAATTCATTGGACATAGAGTAGCATGCTACTGTTGTCATCCTTTTAACTGTTTAAGTTGCTGTGTCTAGAAGTAGATGTTTGAGTCTCATTGTGCTTCCTCTGGCCATTGTCATTTTCTTTGTTTGTCTTTCCAGCATATGCTCTCCAAAGTCGGAATGTGGGACTTTGACATTTTCTTGTTTGATCGCTTGACAAATGGTAAGTTACCTCCCGAAGAATTCCCACTAAAATACACACCATAAAGTGAATTCATTTCATGAGAAACAAATTGCATATTTAGACAAATTACTTTTCCTTCTTTTCCCACTCTCATAAATCTATAGTCAGTCAAGACAGACCAGGGAGGGGAAAATTAATTCAGATGAAGAATGAGGACTGAATTTGACCTTAGCGTGTTAGGACGGTTTCCTTCTAACCTGTGCTCCCAAAAGAATTAGGAAATCACTGATTACATTCCTTCCTCTCAGATACTATGGTCATGTCCACATGTAGAGAGTTCATTGCTAGTCAATGGCAGTGAACACACAAAAGCACACCTGACTAGTCCTGACCCTTACCGACAAGGTGCTTACGCAGCTTCTTAAGCAAGCTGAGTCTGCCCGTTGCAGGCATTGCTCAAATTAAGTTTGGCATTGTCAGGAGGAAGCAAATGCTAGTGAAAGATCGTAAAAAGCTGAGGCTGTAACTGAAAATTAAGCACTCCCATTGACTCTTCTTTTCACATTTTTATGTCTATAAAAGCTTTGCTTACCAAAATAGTGAAATATATTTTCCTCACGCTGTTAAACAAATGTAGATAAGCTTAGGTCAGGAAAAGGTATCATTCAATGCTGACGTTGAGCTGACCCATCATCTGTCATATTTGAGCAATGTGCTGTAAAAGAGACGTAGTGTAAGATTAGGGCATGGATTTTACTCTGCGGATAGCTAACTAAAATGCATATGATATGGGTGGAATCCTGGAGTCCATAATGTTTCATTGATCTTGTTTGGATCACCTAGAAAAGAAATGGGTACTGATAAATAAAATTAACTGTGAATAAGAGAACTTCTTAAGTGGTGTTTGAAAGAAAGTATACTCATGACTGTCACAGAAATGCAAGACAAAGCCGTCAAAAGATTTGGTTTATCTCAGCTCATTAGCAGGCTGCTGACCTACCACAGCAGTTCAAAAGGAGACCTCAGAGAAACACACACACACACACACACACACACACACACACACACACACGCAATAAGATAATAAGATACACTGAAATGAATTTATAAACAGCTGTGTAATGCCACCAGATTAGCTTCAGCTATAAGTCTATGGACAAGGATCATTTACAATGTTATCTGCTGTCTCTAACTTGGAGAGTTCTAAAATACCTCCAAGACAATGAAATGTGTGAAGATGCATTAAATCAGGTACCCTAAAAGGGCATTCTTTGGCAATACTCAGAATGCACTGGAGATGCTTGGGCGGCTCCTTGATCCAATACAAAGTCTTAAATAAGCTCTCTAATACTTTTTTAAATTATTGAAAAAATACTTGTCACCCAGGCATGTTAACATACAGGAGGCTGAGGCTACTAGACATGAATTTGAGGCTGGCCTGAACTCCATATAGTGAGACCCTACCTCAATGACAAATAAATTAACTAGTTAATTAAATTCAAAATAATTATTCTTGGGTAGGTAATATCTCCTGAATATTAATATTATTATAGCTTTAATTTTGCAGCTCTTCTGGCTTGAATTGTGAAAATCTCAAAAATCATTTTTCTTTTAAATAAATGTCATAGGAAGAATAGGCTACTATTACTGAGTAGTGGAGTGGGTTAAATATCCCTATAATGTAAAAGTCAATTGGAAATAACTTAAAGCATATTTCAAGCAGCCATGTGATTTTAAAATTACACACACACACAATACACACACATCCTCAGTACTTCAATAGACAAATTTCTTCACTTAATATTTTCTTTTCTGCTGGTGTAAGAAGATGGGAGCTAATTTTAATTATACAATAGCTGGAAGCCTAGGAAAAGAATCATAGTATATATTATTTCAAATCCAAAGTGGGGAATTATTCTATCAGAGAAACTTCATTTCAGAGAATTTAAATCCTATTTTCAGTCTTGCTAGTGTGTTTAAAATATTACTAATAAAGCAAGTGACTATTCCTCTCCAGGGAACAGTCTGGTAACACTGCTGTGCCACCTCTTCAACACCCATGGACTCATCCACCATTTCAAGCTGGATATGGTCACCTTACACAGGTTTTTGGGTAAGTCTTTTCTCTTTCATGTTCCTACACAACCACGGGAATAAACGCGATGCGTAACTCTTTGATTCCAAATGTCAAGAGACATGAGCTGAATAAGGACAACAATAGACATGATATGGAAGAAAGCCCATGAGGCCTCAACCCTATAGCAAGAGCAACAGGCAACTAAGGGACACTGAGAGCAGGAGACATAGTCTTTCCCAGGAAGAGCACACCAATTGGTTACTCAACCCCACATAATCAGTCCTGAAAACATACATGCAAGTAACATTTACAGACTGAGCAGGTTGTATTCGTACATATAGGAATATGTATGTATATACATGTGTGTATATATTTGTATATATAGTAAAAATTAATGAAAAAGAGGGTTTGAATTTGAAAGACGCAAGGGAAAGTATATAGAGAGATTGCCGAGTGGAAAGGGAAAGGGGAAATGATTTAAATATATTAACTATATATATTAATTTATATATATAAATAACAGAAATAATTTTAAATAAAAAAGTGTTAAGAACCAGAGCATCATAAAAAAGACCTCAAAATAATCTTAAAAGATTTGATCTTAGTTTTTAAATATAGCTTATCTGTCCTAAGCCACTGGTAAATTGTTGGCTTAATGTGTTGTGTTTCTAATACATGCAGGATCTATAAAGGAAACCTGTAAGTCTATAGGTGTCAAGATGATTCTGATATGATCTCATACTTATAGAATTCCAATGAGATATGCCTCAAATAACTCTAGTCACACAACGAGTTGCTGAAAATCTTTAAAATGGACAGAATTACAAATATATACCCACCATAGGAGTAATGTTAGATAAATTATTTCTAATCATTTGCAGAAAGCCCAAGTTGGACATTATTATCACCATTTGGTCCACGGTTACAGAGAACAAACAAGAGATTTCATTACTTCCCCAAGGCTGATGACTAGTGAGCAGCCTGGCCCCTGGGCACATGCAGGTCTAAGCCCACCATCTTTACACACAACACTGCCTTCATTCTTTCCTTGAAAGCAGTCCCAGTTCTTTTGTTCTGTGAGTGTTCTGACTTATCTGCCCATGAATTCTCCCAGGTGGATTCCTAATAGCCAGATGGCTTTCCTCTGCCACTTAGCACATTTCTGGTTCTTTGGCTTGCTATGTGGTTGTACTATGGCTTTGAAAGTTGACTCAGTGCCATCAGGAGGAAGATAAAAACAGCCTCAGCCGCAAGGTTTACATCTTCTGGGACCTCTTTCAAGGGCTTATATGTATGGATCCTACAAAGGCAGTGACACCTTGAACTCAGAACAATGTTATCCCAAAATCAGGGAAGAAAGTTGAGAATTGTGGTTAAGTAATTTGCACCTGGCAGGTAAGTGACAGAGCTAGAGTTTACATATGATAGGAAACAAGCCTACTGAGTAAAAAGTACGTGCAGCACAGCGGAAATACGGGAAACCTCCTTTCCAGGAACCTGAATAACCTCGGGTCGATAGTATTTTAATTACTTGAGCAAAGTAATGCCGTGAAAAGGGCCAAATAATTTTGATTGGTCTAAAGAGATGTACATTCTTTGGACACGTATATGCGCCCCCAGGACATATAAGAAATACAGCCTTGGCAGCTGAATTAGCAGTAGAACCCAGAGCCAGATTCATAGCATAAGCTAAAAGAATACAGCCATTGTAAGTCTGGTCATTCTATACACAGTGAGTATATTGCATCCCAAGCATTGACACTTGGTCATTTGCTGAAGCAATAAACCAAGACTGCATTACCTATTATTGGACATGGCCCTCTCAGCCTTGAATTGCCCTGGAGGGTCATGGCAGAAGGAGGTATGAACCGAGGAAGCCTCCCTTGCATCAGTGCAGTCCTGTAACTGCTACCTGATAGAGGACAAGATTTGTTTTGAGGAGTGTCATTCAAGTGGTAATATAAACACTGGACAGCAGGGATCCAACACACAAGGGCTCTGAAAGGAAGCATCATCTATGGCAGAATATTAATGAATGGCAACATATTTCGATAATTAAATGGTGGCGTGAAATAAAGTTGTACTTTTTCCTCCATATTTATTTGCTCTATGAATGAGAGCCTTCCTGAATTCCAGAAAGGGGTGATTTATGAAAGAGGCGAGAAATCCCAAGAGCCTCACAGATTCTTCTGGCCTTTTTCTTCCCTTTCCTTTCCATTACTAACAGCCCAGCTGAGGCACAGGCTTGCAAACCACCTTCACTTTTAAAGGATTCCTTGGGCTGTGCACTTTGGAAGCTCTGATACTTTTAAGAAAGAAAAAAAAAACACCTACATAAGTCTCATCTACTATGTCATGCTTGTTTTGATCTTAGCTGACTAAGCTTTCTAATTTCTTCCTAGTCATGGTTCAGGAAGATTACCACGGCCACAACCCATACCATAATGCTGTTCATGCAGCCGATGTCACCCAGGCCATGCACTGTTACCTGAAGGAGCCAAAGGTAAAGCAAGATTCAGCTGCCTCCTCCACCATCTGGAGATGCCAAGTCCACGTATTGCTAAGCACTAAGTTGTTCAATGTTGGGAATCCTTCACAGTATGACTGAAAATTATTTATACTAATGTTTTCAGTGTCGGCTCTGAAAATCTTACCATAGCCATGAAAACAGGTGTGGATTTTCTGAAATTTCCTTCCATGGTTTATTGATTCTTAAGGTTATTCGAGGCCAGGGACCCCCAGCCTACCTCTTATATCCTCAGTGGTCCCAAAGACCAGCATTTCCACAACAGACCTTTACCACAAGCACCGCTAGCATTGAGCTTTACTAGAAAACGCTTTCCAGCTGTGGTTTCTGATCAATAAAGGGGATCAAAGCTCCTCTAGTTTCAAGTCCCATTTCTATTTTGCCAATGGGAGTTTCTGATTCAGAATCCAAGAAAACTCGTGTGTGTCCAAGATCTCTTTGCAAGCATGCTCTGATGCAATGAACCAACCCAAAATCAGAGAATAAAGACATTATGATAGTGTAATGTAATAGTCCTTACAATACATCAACAGATACATGAACGATAGAAGTCACTGAAAACTTATGTCATCTCTTCATGAAATTTAAGTTGTATCAATCTTTATATAACTGTCAGCTTAACAGTCGACAGTTTCATTATGTGATACAGAAGTAGCCAGGCAAAAAAGCTGTGTAGATGCAATCAATACAAATTGCTATGCCCAGCAGGAAGTGTAAGTAATTTCAGATGATGAAACAAGGCAATGGCAAGATTTACCTAGGCTTTATGAATAACAGAAAGCATTGACCAGAGACACAGTAGATTTTACAACATAAGAAAAGTAAACAAATGTTTAAATTTCAAAGTGGTATTAGGCCATTAGGTTTGCCAAAGATGCAAACTCATATATGTCTTAATGGCTGTGGAGCCTGTTTCAAGAGAAGGTGACCCACAAAATAAAATAGAGTTAGTATTATGTAATTACATATATTTTCATTTAGCACCTATGATACATTTGAAGGTTTTCTCTCCATATAAATGTATGCTTAAGTTGGATAAATAAAATAATTATAAAGATAAAAAAATAGTCCTTACAATAAGGCCATTCATTACTATTAAAAAATTAGGGGTTTGGTGTAATATACTGTAGTAATTCCTTTGAGAGTTTTTTTAAATAGTATTAGAGTTCAAGACTCTCCTTAGTACAATCAATTTTAGTAGTTCATTAAAAATATACAGGCCGGGTGGTGGTGGCACACACCTTTAATCCCAGCACTCGGGAGGCAAAAGAAGGCAGATGATCTTTTTGAGTTGCAGGTCAGCCTGGTCTACAGAAGGAGTTCCAAGACAGACTCTAAAGCTACACAGAGAAATTCTGTCTTTAAAAAAAGGAAGAAAGGGAGGAAGGGAGGAAGGGAGGGAGGGAGAGAAGGAGGGAGGGAAGGAGGGAAGAAGGAAGGAAGGAAGGAAGGAAGGAAGGAAGGAAGGAAGGAAGGAAGGGAAATATACAGATGCTTCAACATAATCACTGAACACACAGTTGTCACATAGGCATCTAAGGGTAAAGCTTGAGGGATGCTGCATACCTGGAAACCAAAGCTTTTTTGATCTCTATGTAATCTAATAGTTATATCATATATGTTTACTTCTAAGTCAGACTTCCCGTTTTCCTGGTTGACCAAAAAGTAAAGATTCTCACACACTCCCCACCACTTACTCCATATTGAGCAAGAATGCAAATTTTGCATTTCAAATTACTTCTTTCAAAGAAGCAGCACAGATATATATTAGTTAAAACACACCAGGGATGGGGCCTAAGTTCAATGGTAGTATACTTGACGAGCATGTGTGAGACCCTAGGTTCAATGCACAGTATAGGATTTAATAATAATAATAATAATAATAAAGGGAAGACAGGTAAGATGTCTCAGTTGGCAAAAGCACTTGCCACAAAAGCCTGATAATCTAAGTCCGGTCCCCAGATCCCACAGTGGAAGGCCTCCACACACATGCACGGGAGAGAATAGTAATCTTTTTTTAAATTAATGTTTAAACAAAGCAGCACACTAGTGATTCTTTAAGTCTGTTTATTCCTTCGACTAACTCATTTCTTCACTTGCAACTTTCTCTCCAAGTGAGAGTGGTCTGGTTGCGGCTCCAGCCCATCAGCCACTGACACTGCCCAGAGGCTATGCCACTGCAGCAGCCATACCCACCAGCAGGAGGTCCTGTGTGCGTGTCGCCTCACTGGCTACCTCAGAAGGCAGAGGTCTGACTGACAGGCCCAACAGTGTTCCATTCTGTCTGACTGAGACATGGCAAATGGCGACAGTCAACCCGATGATTTTATTTTTTAACAGTTGGCCAGCTTCCTCACACCTCTGGATATCATGCTTGGACTACTGGCTGCAGCAGCTCACGACGTTGACCACCCAGGGGTGAACCAGCCATTTTTGATCAAAACCAACCACCATCTTGCCAACCTGTATCAGGTAAAAATAAGTAAATAAATATTAATAAATAAATAGAAGCTGAATAAGGATACAAACACATCCAAAGAGCCTGGTTTGAATTAGAACCGGCCTTTACTCTGAAGGCTAAGTTGGTGTACAAAGATACCCAAGAAACTCAGTTTGCTCCAAAACAGCTTTTGAAACTGTCCTACGTTAACAGTGTACATGAACAAACCTTCTGTGGCTTAAAATATGTGTCTCCCTGGAGACTGTCTAACACCTATTGGTCAGTTGAGGCCTGGAGGTCTGTAGAGACAAACAGGAAGTGAGCTGACTGGCCAGAGACAGGAAGTGAGCTGGCTGGGCAGAGACAGGAAGTGAGATGGCTAGTCAAAGAGAGGGTATAAGCAGGTAGAAACAAGAACTTGTCCTCTTTTCCACTGAGAAGCTAATGAGGTAAAGGTAATGACTTTGGCTTGATCCTTCTTCTCTCTGATCTCTCAGCATTTTCCTCTATAGCTGACTCCAGGCTTTTATTCTTTAGACCAATTAAGAACTCCATTTTCACATACCAACTAATGTGAAAACTTTCATCAGTTTCTCATTATCCTACTCATAACAATGAAGTATCTTTGTACTTAAAAACAAAGGTTATAAAAGCACACTTTTGCATTCAGTATATAAAAAGGCACACACAATATGGGCCAGTGAGATGCTCAGGGGGTCGAGTGGCCTCCTTTTTGGCTCACCCTGAGTTTAATCCCCACATCTCACAAAGTGGCACAAGAGAACCAGTCCTGGAGAGTTATCCTCTGACCTCTCCTCCACCTCTTTATTAGAAGTAAATATTCTGATACAATCACGTTTTCCAGGATTTTCAGTGCAGTACATAGTCTGTACAATTTAAACTGTAACTATTTGTCACATAGATCAGCAGGAACCCGGGAATCCAAAAGTGAATAAAACCTTTGTTCAAATTCAGGTACTCAAAATGACCATTACCCAAACAAAGTTAATTCTAGTTTGAAAGGGGTTTGAGGAGTTAGCTACAGAGTATACACAGGTGTAATTCTTTAATATTTAAAAAATAAACACCTGTGTGATTCTTTGTTTCCTACGATTTTTAGTTGGTGCAGCAAAGTGGGCTACTGCTGTCTGCAGGAGACACAATCTAGACTGTGTGGTCTGGTCCCTCATAGGAAAAAAGGAGAAGACTGGAAAGGGAGAATTTGGAAAAGAAGGCCCCAAAACAGTGTACAAGATTCTATCTTCATCAGACATCTGCTTGCTGGCGTGAACATCTCCTGAAGTCTAGAAACACAAGTCCTTCCATTTTAAAGACAGTGTTAGAGACAAACCAGTGTTCAGTGATCCCATAAAGACCTGCCTGGTGTCACAAAACTGGCTGGGATAAAGGCCGACACTCATCAGCCAAGTTGAGACATTACAGATTGGAACCTGAAAGAGAGCATGAACTTAACTGTGAGATGCCTAACAAGCTGATACTCCACTACAGGCCACAGGGACATTCAGTCCTTCAGTTACTCTATAATCTCTGTTTTGTTTCTGAGACAGGGTATTTCTGTGTAACAGCCCTGGCTGTCCTGGTACTCACTCTGTAGACCAGGCTGGCCTTGAACTCAGATATTTGCCTGCCTGTGTCTCTGGAGCGCTGGATTAAAGATGTGTGCCACCACCTCCAGGCTCAAATTCCAATTTTAATGTCAGAAGTGTACTGGCTCCTGAAAGAAGAAGTGTCGGCTCAGGACCCCCAAGACCAAGGTCTCAGCACAAAGGACAGAGGGCAGGGAATAAGAGACAATGACCCAAGTAGAGGACAAGGGAGGAGGGGAAAGGAGCAAGGGAAAGGGGGTGGAGGTATTTGTGGGAAGATACCACTGCCTCTGGATAGAGGGGAGACAGATGTGGCACATAGGAAAATTGTAGCGTAGGATGAGGTGTTTAACTTTAATTGGGCATGTTAATTAGGTGAGCCAAAGGGGGCTTTTGATTGCTGGACTTCAATACTTTGATAGCTGGACCTTGGTGGTCAGCCTCAGGAGGAGGAAGTGGCCAAATAAGGGGACAGACCTTGGTGGCTAGCTTGAGTAGCATATTTAATGGTTTTTAGCAAGGCAGAGGGAATGGGGGAGAGGGGCAAAGTCTGCCAGAGCCATGTGTGAGTGGGCTAGGGTCCCTTCTAATGTCCTTCTCTCTTCTCAGGCATTCTTGTTCTTCTCTATGCATCACGATTCTCCGAGTTTCCAGCATGTGAGAGCAAGGCCCCAGTATGGAGGGAAGAAATGATATCACATAGTGTGTTCACTTAGCAAGGCACTAAGAACACATGATATTTTAAATCTCTGCAAATACAGGGTACCTATGTACATTTTTTCCACAAAAGAATTACCCTCATTCACTTTACAATGAGTTACATATTCAGAAAATCATTAAGAACCATGGTAATAGCCGGGCATTGGTGGCACACACCTTTAATCCCAGCACTCGGGAGGCAGAGGCAGGCGGATCTCTGTGAGTTCGAGGCCAGCCTGGTCTACAGAGCGAGTTACAGGACAGCCTCCAAAACAATACAGAGAAACCCTGTCTCAGAAAACAAACAAACAAACAAAAGAACCATGGTAATGAATGAGATAAACAAATGTACAAATATTCACAGAAATTATACACTCCCATACACATATTATCAACAAGAGTACACAGAGGAGGTGAGCCAGGACTATGAGGCTGTAAGAACACCCTGTGCATGCGTGACTTCGCTGCAATCCAGACGGACTGTGACTAGATAAGATGTGAGACACTTCCTCTCTTCAGCTGGGGTGCTCTTGCAGTCCTGATAAAGATCACGGCATAACACCCAGCATGTGCCTTTGCACTGAGATAAGGAAAGAGCCAGGGCCGCTGGAGTGAAGGCAGGGTCAGAGGGCATCCCCCTCCCCATTGTCTGCAATCTGGACCCGATTCCTAAGCTCGACTTGCCAACCAGGGTCAATATGAAGACACAGCAGATACTTCCACCTGGTGCCTCACTCAGAGTAGAAGCAGCCCATGTGTAAAGGAAGACCAAGAGAGACGGGAGCATGAGGGAGGAAGTCCTCAGAATTTACTTTCTTTGCCTCCACCCTCCAATATAACTCACTGTCATACATAGGCATACACAGGCAGAGTCACAGATGGGCTCAGCAAGCTATAACGTATACATGGTGTCAGATGTAATAATGTAACAATGGTTACCACAATTACAAAAAGAATCGCTTTCACTTTAACTTAAAATGTAATTCCCCTTGATAGATCCCAGCTACATACTAGCTATGGACAGTCCACTATGGATAAAGTAATGGTTAATTCACCCATATTTCTGCTAAACATAGAATAGATGTGTGTGATTTTTCTTAATCATTTGCTAGAGGCAATTAGGGATGGGGATTGACATTTAAAATTCCTTTTTGTTTTGAATGACTCTGACTTACACACACCAGGCTGACAGTCCAGGAGGGATGCTTCTATGACTGCTCCTCAAATATGTAATTGCAAAGATTATCCGTGCCCTTACAGTTTCTATAGGAAGAAAGGTATTCTAGATAGAGTATTAAATCCTGTGAGGGAGGGTCAAAATTGGTCTTCTGCTTCAATAAGTTTCCCAGGCCCTTATCTGAACAGGTATCCCATGGACAGCAAGTGAATCTATATTCCTTGTTCTAAGATCAGTATTGAGTAGATAAGATGAAGAAGAGTCAAATAGGCCTTAAAGCAGGGTTTGCCAAAGACCAAGGACTTACTGTGAACTCAAGATGCTTCTCTTCCTCTGAGACCTCCCAGATGAGGCCCTTAGGGTGTGTCCAAGGAGATCACTTGGTTCCTTAGGCAAGAGCAGGACAGAAACTGTTACTTCCAGAGTCTGTTCGTGAGCAATTAAGAGTGAAAACACAAGCTGCATTCATGCTGTTGCTTTTCTTCCTGTATCCTCCAGATTTAAAATGGGAAAACATCTGATTCCTTTGGATACCAGACTCTCAGTTTATCAACATCGCTCTAAGTATTTTCATCAAAGGAAGTGTCCAATAAATAGAGAGGGAACAGCCAGACATGGTGGCACAGGCCTGTAATCCCAGCTACTCAAGGAGTTGGAGGCAGCAGGATTGCAAATTCAAGGACAGCCTGGGCAACTTAGAGAGACCCTGTCTCAAAATATTAAGGAAAAGGAAAACTGGGCCTATAGCTCAGTTGTAGAGAAATTGCTTGTCTGTACAAGACCCTAGGTTCAAGCCCCATTACCACAAAAAAAAAGGATGGAGGAAGAGGGCAACCACTATTAAAAAATAATAATAATAGAAAGAAAAGCTTCCTTGCATGATAGCAACTTAGCTGTACCAGATTCCCTTTGACAGACAACCTCTTGACTTAATTTGAAAACCTGTGTGGTGGTTTATTAAATGCCAGCAATCAAAGGGATTGTTTCGTCTCTATGGCAGATCATACTTGATAATTCAGAAAAGGAAAGAGGAAGTGGTAGTGTTTTGCCTCCGATGTTGTAAGGGTTTTGTTTTCCCAAATTAAAATTCTAACCATTCTTGTAAACCACCAAGATGGAAGTGTCTTCTTTCCACATTAAGATGAAGATTATTTTTGGCCTCAGGATATGGCTCAGCAAGCATGAGGTCTTAAGTTTGAATCCCCAGTACCCACATCAAAGTCATGTGTGGTGGTGTACACCTCTAACTTCAGCATCTGGGAAGCAGAGGCAGCGGGACCAGTCAGTCTAGTTGAGACTGCCAGCTCTGAGCTCAGCAAGAGAGCCCGTCTCAAAAATAAGGTCAGGAGCCATAAAAGAGGACACTTGAAGTTGACCTTTAACTGATACATGTGTATGCACGGAAGAGTGCCTTACACAGATATATACACTACACACACAGATAGATGGATGATTGATTGATAGATGGATAGATAGATAGATGATAGATGAATAGATGATAGATAGATAGATAGATAGATAGATAGATAGATGAATAGGTAGAAGATAG